CCCCTAAGCCACTCTCCCAATTCCAGGGACCAGATAAAGACAGACATTTGGCTCTCCATTTAGCTGACTTTGTACTAATTTCTAATGGTTGGAACTACATTTTCCTTTCTGGAGATGTCTTTTTAAACCACTGAGAGTCTGGAGATGTCTGTAGCCGTGCCTTGCATCACTCTAAGGCCACAGTGCATCCCCAAGTCACAAAGCTCCCAGCCAAACATGCACTTCCAGCTCTGAATAGTAGATCCACAGCTGGGGCCCACCAGCCCTGAGCCAGCTGGTCAGATCTCCCTGCTCTATGGGCTGACAAGTTGGAGCTCTGTACTCTATACAAATAAGAGTCATTCAGAGAGGCCTTTCCCTCCCAACATTTTCCATTTCTTTCTATTCTGGAAATTGAGCACTTGGTTCACACACCCTGCATCCCAAAGACATGTCATATTCATGGTACCTCAACTCCTGTGATAACCCTTATGATGTGTTAGTCTTGAAATATTCCTATGTTATCTTCCCAATCCTCAGCCAGGTCTTAAATCTGGCCATCTGCTAATTACACAACTCAGATATACTCTTATCAGTTCCACAGAACATTCCAGTTTGTACAGTCTTTAGATACATACTCCCACCCCATGATTTCTTTGTTTATTTTAGTCCTCATCCACACCTGCATCTTCCCTTTAGTGCCACACCTGAGCCAGGCCATGGCCCACTCTTATAACATGCTATATTTCTCTGATTTCCCCCCAACCACCCCTTCCTCATAGCATTTTAAAACTGTGTCATTCTGTAACCTAGGTAGACCTAGAACTCAGTATATAGCCCAAGCTACCTCAATCTCATCATAACCCTCCTGCAGCTTCTCCAGAGTTTGGCTTAGAGATATGAGGCATCACACATGTCTGACTCCTTTTCCTGTGTCCATGTTCGGGTTAAAACTCCAGACTCAGTTGGATGGTAGTAACTGTTTGCCTTTCTGTGCTTTTCCTGGACTACCAAAGGCAACTAGCTAAAACAAACACCAGCGATGTTTGCTTATGAACTACTCACATAGGCTCTTGCTTGCCAACTTAGTGAATGCACAGCCCACCAATGCCAAATTTAGCTAAAAGCAAGAGATCAGTTTTCCACATGTCAGAAAAATTATAAGGAGAGTTAAAATGAGAGAAACTTGAAGCCAAATTATCAAATGATTGTTTAAAGAATTAAGGACAAACAGCTATGCTGGGGCAAACCTTTAATCCCAGCACTCATGAAGCAGAAGCAGGTGGGTCTCTTTGAGTTCCAGGTGGACCTGGTCTACAGAGTGAGCTCCAGGACAGCTAGGGCTATGTAGAGAGATCCTGTCTCAAAAAACAAAAACTAAAAAGGACAGGGCTTCTGCCTAAATGGATACAATGCTTCCTGCCAGACTTTAGAGATGGAATCTGTACCCCTACAAGATGAAGCTAGGGAAGGCTAACCTTATGTCAATTCCAACTTCCTAAAACAAAACCAAAAATCTCACCCCACGCCCAGGATATAGTTCAGAAAGCCTGGTGCACGAACTCTGGGAAATGACTGCTCAGTGTCTGCAGTGAGAAATGAACACTACAGCCCACTGCTGTTGACAATTTGATCATTTTCGAGAAACTCCTTCTCTAGATACCTTACCCACCTGCCCTAGTAGGGCTCTCTGGGAAAATCTCCCTGCAGAAGAGGTCAGGATGGGGAATCCAAACAAGGAGAGTCAAGAAACAAATACAAGAAGCCAAGAGATTAAAATCTAGTACCAGCCGTAAGTTAGTATAGTGTTCAGATATTTTCCTGCTCATAGCTGTTCATGATGATTACAGAATTATGCTTGCTCCATTGGACAAATTTTAAAATGTTTAAGGAAGTGATGAGATGGGAAGCCAGAGAGAACAGTCTGGAAAAGGTAGAGTTTGAAAGAATGAAAGCAAATTGACTTAGAATCTTAACACAGCTACATGGAGCTGAAAACAGGGGTCTCTGTCATGGCGCAGCCCTGCAAACTGACTTTGGCTGTGGAGAAGAATGACAACTGAGGAGCAGATGAGAGACTTCAGTGGCAGCCCTGCACTCTCAGTAGTCAAAGGTGACAGGAAGATACCAGAGCAGAACACAAAAACCTGGTGTACTGCCTTTCCGAACAGAACAAACATTGGAAAAATCCACAGGAGACCCTGATATGATGAGGATAACCCAGGGGTTTCGATCCCAGAAGGCCTGGGATGGGTAGGTGCCAAGGGACAAGCTGAACAGAGGCAGAAAACCTTCCCTACCCATGTGGCAGATGCTTTCGCTGGGCCTCTCTCTGGGTCTGTGTTCTGGGACCATGTAGGTGTTCCCTCAGTGATGTGCTGGGTCACTCATCTCTAACCATCACTAGGGCTGGGCAGCTTCATTTACATCACGTGACTATTCCAACCTCTGCCATTCAACCCACTTCGGCCTGATCTTCCTTATCTACAGTCATACTGAGTTTAGCAGACTATCTAAGCATCCTGAGGCAGGCCCTCACAGAAAAACACATTGTGCCATGCACTTCATACCAGTACCCTGCATTTCCCACCAGTTGGGTGGGACCCGGGAGTACAGTTGGGAGGACTCCTTGTTGTACCTTATTCTGTGCTCATCATCTTAGAGATCCCTTGTTAGTCTGTGAGTCTCACCAGTCCCAAACTCCACCTGCTTGCTTCCTTATCACTTCTCGACCTTTTTCAATGGCAACATGCCCTTTCAAACTGCAAGCTTGTGCATGCGTCTCCCTCCTCTGCTGGATGCTTAAGTGAATGATAATAAGCTCTGAGACACAAGCTCCATTGCTACATTCACACACATGCTCTGACCCATTGCACGAATGCTTCATCCGCACACAAGCGCTATACCAAGGCTCCTTAGCCCTCCTTCTGCATAGCTAGTTTCTGTGACACTGAATGACCCCCTGGAAAATCCTTTTCTCATAACAGCATCCCACAGCACTTCAGGCCCCCAGGCTAAACTGACTTCCTGCCCTTCATGCAAACTAAATCCTGTGCTTTTTATGCCAGTGGTTCTCAACCTGTGGGTCACAACCACCTCTGGTAAACCTCTGTCTCCAGAAATATTTACATTATGATTCATAACAGCAGCAAAATTATAGACATGAAGTAGCTATGGTCGAGGGGGTCACAACAATATGTGGAACCATATTAAAAGGTAACAGCGTAAGGAAGGTTGAGAACCACTACTCTAGGCCTTGACCTCTAATGTGAAGAACTATTTATGCCCCTTCCGGGGCTAGAGGCACACAAGTCTGCACCATGCACTCAGTTGAGTGCCTAGCATGCAACCAAAGCATCACTCTGAACTTTGAGACATGGATGACACATAGAGTAGGACCTGGGGACCACAGCACTCAGTTGGATTAGGGCCTGGATGCTGAACACTCCCAGATCCTAGGGGGTGCTCATTTGCCATTTTCTTGTATGGTCCTCCCAGGGCCCTGCTAAGTGGTGGGAATCACAGGGTACAGTGAATTCCTATATGAGGATCCAATTTGATGCACTTAAGCATTCAAGTTCTGTGTGACTCCAATGCTCAGGAAAGAAGAATGTGGACATGTGTTGGGTAGATAAGGGGGTGCTATATCATTCCAGAGGCACATGGTGACATGAAACTTAATAGGTGATACATGGGTGGGATAGTTGAGCCCAAATGTCCCTACAGAGACCGGCATTTAACCTAAGGCCCCTCTACCCATCTCAGTCACCTGTACTGCCAGACTTTGTGGCCAGACCCTTCTGGTTCCAGAATCACTAGCTCCAAACACTCACCTGTATGTTCCTGGGTAGAAGCATCTCAATGCATACAAGATGAGTATACACTAACCCTAAAAATGCAGGGAATCCAAGCTTCCAAAGGCCTGGAATGGGTCCCCCATCACACTGTGGAGGAGAGGCAGCTGAAGCCTTCTGCCTTTGGTGACATTTCCCAGCACTGTTGCTCAGTGGCTCTCCGGTTTTCTCAGTAGCTGCCTGCCCACCCCGCCTCCACTCTGCCTGCCATCCTTCCCCACTCTAGCTCATGACACAAGAAGCAGACTGAAGACTCTACATGTAGAATAAAGAACACTGGAGTCAGGGTGGGGACCTTGACCATTTCACACTGTAAGGCCAGTCTTAAAAGGCCATTATGCAAGGTCTGCTTAGATTTGAAAAGTCGCCATGGAACCGTTTCCTGGAACTGGGTGATGCCCCCAGAGGCAGCGACTTCACACTGAAAAGTGGGTAGGAGCTAGCTAGTTAAGGGGTGGCAGAGGGAGAGTTGTTCTGAGGAACATTCCAAGAAGAATAGGCAAATCCCCCAAATGAGCCTCTTGTTGGTAATGGTCCTCCTTCTCCTTGGCAACTAGCATATCCTAGGCCCCCAGTGGGAGGTAACAGCTTCCCAGCCTATGAGAGCAGGCAGACAGTGCCTCTGCTCCCACAGGACATGCCATATGAGCCAATTATCTAGGTGCTTGGGGATGTTTCCCCCTCTGGCACATGGAATTCATACTGCTTCCTAGGACCGTCATAATGATTCAAGGGAACAGCATTCCAGGGTGGTTGACGGGGGATTTAGACACAGTACTTCCCATTGGTTTAGACACACTGCACATCAGTGATTTAGACACAGGGTACACCAGTGAATGGGGGCGGGGTTACTGTCTTCTTGTCCTTTGCTGAACTCATTGCTGTTAATTATGTAGAGATGTTAGCAAATGGAAGGGCTCCATGAAGGATTCCTTTCTTCTGTGACTGAGGTCGAGCAGACCTGTAGTCATGTTTACCAAGTTGTCTCTCAAAAGCTACTTCAGAGTTTCCAAGCTATGTGACAGCCACAGCCCAAACATTTGCAGCAGTGAATGATGTGATCCTCAGGGCTAGCCTGGGCAGTGGCTGGGTGGGGCCTGGGAGTCAGAAGAGGGGCACAGAGCCAAGCCATGCCTGAGGTGGCAGGGAGGAAGCACTGGGTGGGGCCTGGGCCTATGTACACAACCGCACCTACTAGCCGGGGAGTAGATGTGTTCAGTCACTGAGTAGAGGCCAACTAGTGAATCTTCATCTCCCTGGGAAAAGTACCTGAGAGGCAAACAGGATGGCCTGGTGGAAAGCCTGGGTAAGTGGGCATAATCTGGGGAATTGGGTCCCTGTACAGTGCTGGTTCATGAGCACTTGGTGGGGTTGGGGGAAAAAAGTAAAGGCTGAACCTGCTAGGCCAAGTCCTGATGAGGAAGCTGAGAGAAAAACAAAAACAAACAAACTGCCCATGCTTAGAAAAGTTACTGCAGGGATGTAAAAAGCAAGACAATTCAGAGTAAAACAATTTTTTTAAAAAAAAAAGAAACCCTTGAAATGCAAAGAGGGAGACTTCTTCAGGGAAAAGGCCACTTAGGAGAAGGGATCCTGTGGATGGGTGCAGTGTGCATTTGTTTGTGCTTGGAGAGGCTCCAGGAGGCTGCCCCTTGCATGGGGTAGTGGTATGTGAAGCTTTGGAGAAAAATCGCACTGTGTGGTTTGAATGTTCTGAGTAGGTTGGATCTAGACCAGAGAAGCAGCCAGAATGGGAGCATCAAAGGCCTTGAATAACAGGCTAAGGAACTGGAGCCTAACTTGTGAAAAATAGGGGGCCGCTGGTACACTTTAAGCTAGAGAACACTCTGGGGGACACAATGCCATTGGAGGAAACTAGCAATACCCACAGATCAAGGTATGAAAGGGAGTAGACTCATACCAAAGTGTACCAGTGCTTATTTATCAAAGTCGGGAGAAGGGGGAGTTGGCAGCAGGGCCTAGCTCAAGGGAGCCATGCACAGCTGGAACACCACATGGGCAGTCACAGAGCTGCACTGATACACACCTTCCTCATCTCAGCTGGAAGGCTTTCAGAGAAAGCAGAGGCTCTGGGACACCAAGCAGCTTGCTCAGGTTCCTTGGACAGCAAGCTCAGACTAGAAAAGCCAGGTCTCTGCAGCAGCCCTCGGGCTCTTTGTAGTCAGAAGACTCAAGCTTGTCCAGCTTCAGGGAAATTTGTGTAGCTGTGTCACCACCCAGAAATAGCTGTAGGAGTGGATGTTCTGGGCTCTGGACAGATAGGACAGACTAGAAGGCAGGGTGGAAGGAGCTGTCATCCTGACCCTCAGGGAAAGCAGCCAGCAGCCAGCACAGCGGCTGTCTCCAGTTTTACAGCAGCTGCTGGTGCAGGTGGACACACCTGCAAGATCCCAGTGTTAAGCAGTTCCTACCGTCCCATCCTGGCCCAACTAGCCTGATGATGCTGGACAGGGATAAGGACTAAACTCTTGGGGACATGATCAGAGGATGATGATGCTGGCACTCTCAGAACCTTCTGTGTGGAGACACTCCTATGTCATCTCCCATTCAGTATCAATAGAGCCTCACAGCAAGGCAGGTAGCCATGGCTTCACACACAAGTGAGGAAACTGAGACTCACGTATACTAATAGGTGCCAAAGTTGCCACATTTGTTAAGTGTTTGGGTCTGGGCAATCTGAGCCCAGATGCAGACTCAGTCATCCCAGACCACTGACCCTTGGGGGAGCTGACTTGGCCTCTGTGTCTGGCTGGGCAGCCAGTGAGAACCAAATGTCCTGTGAGCACAAAACTGGATCAGTAACAGGGCTGAAGGGAGTGAAAGACAGTCACAGGGGGCTGTCTTCAGAACAGATGCCTCTTGTGGCCCTCTTGATGAGGAGCCTGTAAAGGAATCAGGTGAAAGTATGGCAGCTCCTGCGTGCCCATGACAGAAGGTGTTCTGGACACAACATCCAGGACTGCCTGAATTACCTTTTGCCTGGGAACATGTCTGTCTGGACTCACCAGCCTCAGGGTAGCTCCATCAGGAGCCTAAGACTGACTTCCAGATCTCCAGTCCAGACAGTGTCTGATCTTTGGCCCCCAGAACATTGCCCTCTTTCTAGAGAAACCTCAGCAAGGAAAGTGAGACAGATTTCTCAATGTGTTGATATTCCAGCCAGCTCTGGGGCTGCTGACAAATACTGGTCCCTGAAATATATGGGAGATGCTCCTCAATCCATAGATCTCTGAGGCCAATTCGGAGCAGGGAGTAAAGCTAGGAAGTGAGAACTTAGATGCTCCCCACCCATACTCCCAGAAGACTTCCTTGCCTATGGGTGAGGCTCTCTGCAGGGAAACATTCCAAGAAAACCCAGTGTCTGGGGAAGAGTGACTCATCTGTAGAGTGGGAAGAGGTAGACAGAGCTCAGGTTCTGAGTCAGGCTATGGGTGAAATGCCAGCAACACCATTTACTAGCTTTTCCACCAAGCCCAGCCTCCTGGCCTGTGACATGGAACATGCTGGGGAAGAGGGTAAGCTGTGCACTTTTCAGAGGGGATGTTCAAATGGCCTTCTAGTAGTAGCAGCACATGGCCTCCCAAGGACTAAGTGTGTGTGGACAATGGGGCAGCATCTATGATCACACTGGCTCACTGGAGAAAATTTTCCCAGGAATTATTCCCAACAGTTCCTATTATATGACATGGTACGATCGATGGAACGTGAAGATCTATTTCTGGACATGTGAAAATCAAGCAGAGGCTACAGAGAGATGTCTTGTTTCTTACTCAAACGAAGGACCCTTAAGGATATACCATCCTCGGGGACCTGCTCTATATTTTCAGGATCTAACCTTGGATTTGGGTTAAAGGATGGCTACATGAGTCAATGCAGAGAGAAAAGGAGAGATGGGTGGCAGATGCTTGAAAGGAAACATGGGGAAAAGGAGGGAAATGGGGAGTGGAAGGAAAGAGGAAGCGGGGAGGAAGGGTAAGGGGGGTAAGATGGTATAAGGGTTGTGTAGCTCGGACAGAGAAGTAGTGAACAGGTGGGCTAATGAGTAAGTAGGAGAGCAGATGGGTGGATGTGGACAACTAAGGAGCTGTTGAGCAGGTGAGCGAATGACCAGGATGGATTTCACTAATCTTCGCTCCATTTGGAGGACCTGGGTCTCCCTCATTCAGTTCTGCCCCCCAATTCCTTCCACTCCTTGCCACTCCTTCCCCTAAAGCACACACTAGAAAGTCTGTCCACCCTAAGCATGTGATAAATTATACTGTACACACATATAAGTGGCCCTGGCACATGCCCTGGATTAGAGGCTTGTAAGACAAGGGTCTTTGGACTTTGGTTATCAAGTTTATTTCATAATCCATTGGGCATCCTACAGTTCTTCCTAAATGTAACCCTCTGCCCAATATGATGATCCTGTGGCCTTGCAAACTACATGAGCCTGAGAGATATATGCCCAGCTTGGCACCTGATCCTCCGAAATACCCCACACCTCATCACAGGAAAGGCCAGGACAGGCTAAGACCCTTCCTTGCAAAGAGAAACCTGTGTCCAGTTCCCCGTTTCCTAGGCAGCCACTCAGCTTTTAGAAGTCATTCCTTACAAATCCATTTCTACCCATCCTGCTGTACAGAGGTGCATATGACCAGTCTGTGACCTGCTCTCAGTCGACAGGTGGTTTGTGTGTGTGTGTGTGTAATTTATTTTTATTTTATATTCGTTGGTGTTTTGCTTGCCTACATGTCTGTGTGAGAGTCTCAGAGGTCCTGGAACTAAAGTTATAGACAGTTGTGAGCTGCCTTGTAGGTGCTGGGAATCAAACTAAGGGTTCTCTGGAAGAATAGCCAGTGTTCTTAACATCTGAGCAGTCTCCCCAGCCCTGAGGAAGTTTCTTTTTACAAGCTCTGCTCCCAGCCTCACCTTCCTGCCAGAGAGGTCAGCCACTGTGCTACAAGGCTTCATTGGTCTCAGTGCCCAGGACAGGTCCTTAGCCTAACGGGGTGCACATCCTGTACATCCCACAGTGAGCAGGCCTGGCTGTTTTGCAGATTGAACAGGAGGGTGTCACTGTGAAGGGCAGTTCTCACTTCAATCCAGACCCTGATGCAGAAACCCTCTACAAAGCCATGAAGGGGATTGGTGAGTAACTGTGGCCTGGCCACTGGAGTCCCACACCCTCACATCCCGAGGAAGGAGATACCAGGGATACACAGGCATAGATTGTGTGCCCATTTTATTTTGAGTGACTCCACTAGTAGAGAATCACGCCAGCTCTGAGATGGGTGACTTGTCCGTTCTCAGGTGACAGTGACAGGGGAGGCTGTCGATCTGAGATCTCTCATTTGTAAAATGGCTGCAAGCACTCTGGACATACTGTGTCACTGTGATTCAGAAGATGGATTGGCACAGGGCCTGTTGTGGGCATGGGGATGGGAGTTTAGATGCTGTACCAGGGGTACCAGCCACATGGATTCTGCAGCTTGTTCTCTGCCCAGTGTTGGCTGTCCAGATGGCCAACTGCTTATAGCACCACCCTTGCATGACTGAGTGGAAAAGGACTGGTTTGTACTAGGACTTGGTCTCACTCCAGTCACCCCTTAGCTGGCTCTGCCTAGTGAGTTAGGGCAGTAAAAAGAACGACCATTCCCAGAGGTGCCTATACCAAATTCTCTCTCACACCCACTACTACCTATGAAATCTGTGCCTCCCACCTGAGCAAATGGGGCTTCAGGAGATGAGCCTACTTGTCCATGGCCTACAGGGCAGGGGCTCAGACACAATGGTCTGGACTTTTAGTCATGACCTTGCTCTGATGCGACTAACACAAGGGAAGAGATTTGAATACATCTCACTTGGCCCCACTTCAAAGGCCCATGGACGGTGTCCAAAGGCCCCGTCCTTGGTTTCTGTATTATGACATCAGGTCTGAGCCACACCCAACTCTGTGTAATTTGGAAGTGGGGAACCAAGAGGTGAGCTAGCTGAGCATCTTGTTTGTGTCGTGGAATTTAGGCATCCAGGGCTATTCTGGTAGCATGGTCCCAATGCCCAGCCAGCAGGCATCTCCCCTCTTCCCTCCCCAGCCTTCTCCCCTCTAGAGGTAGAGGGGATTTTCACACTGTACACCCCTGCAGGAACCAATGAGCAGGCCATCATAGATGTGCTCACCAAGAGAAGCAATGTGCAGAGGCAGCAGATTGCCAAGTCCTTCAAGGCTCAATTTGGCAAGGTAAGCAGGGTGGGGCTGAAGACTGGGCAGTTCCTCCAAGGATGCACATATACTCACAGGAGACATGCATTAAAATGATCCTTCAATTCATCTGAGGTTGTTTCTCTGGCTGTTCTGTTTTATATGGTAGACCATGTATCATTTCTTCCCCTATTCTTTTTCACTGCAATCCTCAGTTGTCCTTCAGGATCCAGCCTAAGCCCACTTCAGCATTGTCTGTTCCCACTACTTGAACTGACCTCCCTCTTCCCTGCTCCCCGGCAGTACATGCCTGGCTTCCTTCTGTTCCACAGCACAGACACATGCTTCTCTTGTTCATTTACATGTTCCTCATCTCTCCTGTCACCAGGCACTCTAAGAGCACTGTGGCCAGGAGTGTGGAGGTATGCACTGAATGCCAGAAGTTTGTGCCTAGACATGAGTGCCTAGACTGGAGTATCTCGCTCTGGACACAGATTTAACACACACACACATACACACACACACAAACACACACACACACACACACACACACACACACACACACACACACACAGCAGTGATGAAGTGTAAGTAACCCCCAAGTGAAGTGAAGCCACACATTTGCAACTCCTTTCCTTACCCCTCGAAGCTACACATTAATCTCTGTGTTCAACATCAGAGAGGTTGAGTAACTTCCTAAGGTTCCAGAGCCTGTAACTGACAAGTCTGACAAATCCCTGTACAGATCAGCTGAGAGTGGCCTGGTGGCTTCTTGTAGACACATATGACCTTAGAAAGTGACAAGTGTGAGATGGAATCTTGGGATCCTATTCCCTCTTCTCTCCCTTCTTCCCTCTTTCCCTCACTTGGTTTTTTTTTTCTCCCCATATTGAATCATTTGCTGATGTTAAGCATGAGGCTGCCACCCCCAGATTGTGCCATCTTGAAAGCAATGGCAATTCTATTCTCTCGAGTTTAGAACGTGCCCAAGATTGGACTGCTGGCAGAGTTGTCACACATCTCTTTCACCCCATAAGCAATGGTATGAAGCAGAAGTTCCATTATCCCCATTTAATAGGCACTGATGCTGATGCTTAGAAAGGCTAAGGTCCTGGCCCAAGAGACCACACCAGCATGACAACTCTGTCACGTGTAAAGGAAGAAAGGGATCTTCAGACCAGGCCCCACCTGCTGCCTGTACTTTTCTGGGCTTGGAGGACAAGTCATGTCACCTTTCCTTTTGCCTGTCTTAGGACCTCACTGAGACCTTAAAGTCAGAGCTGAGTGGCAAATTTGAGAGACTCATCGTGGCCCTCATGTACCCGCCATACAAATACGAGGCCAAGGAGCTGCACGATGCCATGAAGGTACCCCACTTTGCCACATGTTAGAATGGCCACCTGGGCCCCAGCTTACCTAACGAATGGGTTTGCAACCTGTTCAAACAGCCACCCAGCCGTGGGGCTGGCCCAAATCAGTACTTCTTAGAACAGAGCTGGACCAGGAGGAATGCAGGGGAGCCAGAAACCCATCTCGGCGGCCCCAGTCACCCTTTACTTCCCACCACTCCTACTACTTTCATAGAGTATGCGGTGTGGGAGACCCAGAAACTACAACCAGTCCCACGTAAAGGATACTTTTGTGATCTATGCCTTTTACAGCTATGCTCTCAATCCCACCTTCAGGCCAGGGTTGGCTCACTGGCAGATGAGTATATTCTTAAGGATGGCAAGGTGGAGCTGCCTGTGTGAGACCACCCAGCTAAAGGGGTGCTGAGACAGCTGCCCCAATAGCTGGCACAAGAAACAAAGAAGGGGATTCAATATCATCCCCCGCCCCAAATGTAGGCCACATCAAAGGAGGACAGAGCCATGGCCATAGAGAAGGCAGAAAAGGCAGAGCAGGAGACCAAGGGCAGAACACTCCAGAAAACATAGAGGCTTCTGTCCCCAGGGCTTAGGAACCAAAGAAGGGGTCATCATTGAAATCCTGGCTTCTCGGACCAAGAACCAGCTGAGAGAGATAATGAAGGCATATGAGGAAGGTAAGGAGGACGCAAAGATGGTGGTGTAGAAACCCAAAGCTTTAGCAGCCTGATGGGGAATTAGGGTCAGGCAGTTCCCAAGGGAACTAGGCTGTATTGGAAAGAACTCTTTGGAGGGTCTTCTCATACAGGTCCACCCAGTACCTGAGTGCCAAATTATGTGCTCAGCAGTGACTGTGCACAGCTCAGACATGGGGAGAGAGAGATGTACCCAACTGAGCTCATGTCCCTAGGGGCTGTGGTCGTACTGGGGAACAGAGGCAGCAATGGGCCTACTGGCTGCACATGGTCTATGCCAGAACACTGGAGAGGGTCATCTGCTAAGATCGCCCTGTGCTAGGGGAGCCCTGACACTCCCTTACAGTGCATAGCTTGCCAAGCAAGCAAAGGCCAGCCAGCCCTCCACGTTGTATACCTGGCCAGGGTAGTCTGAAGGCCCCGGCTTCCCTGAACCTGGTGATAAAATTGTCTCCATCCGAAGGCCTTAGTGTGGTTCCCTGGCCTGGTCTGTTTCTCCCTTTAGCTTGGTTGTGTAGTTATGCCACTCTGGGGTCTGAATGACTACCTAGGTAAGACTCTGCCACTTTGACATCTAACTGTATATGTACACCTTCTGTGCCAAAAGCGTGTCTTCCTATGGGGAGAAGTGTGGGAACTAGGTATGGGGGAGGAAATGGGTGCTGGCAGGCCCTGGGTCACACACTGCTCATACCTTTGATTCTGTTTTCCTGCAGACTATGGGTCTAACCTGGAAGAAGATATCCAAGCAGACACAAGTGGCTATCTGGAGCGGATTCTGGTGTGCCTCCTGCAGGTATCACAACCCAGGCTCCAGGACTCTGTGGCTTGGGCCCTGGCAGCAGCTCTTGAGCAACGCCTCTGAGTGAAGGCTGGGCTATGGGGAAACCCAGTGGTCTGGGACCACTGGCTGTAGAATGGGTCCTGACTGCAGAGCCCATGCCTCTCTTTCCTTGACATTTGTGTGGCCCCAGGCCAAGCTAGGCCTAGCGTAGCCCACTGAATCCACCATTCCAATCTACTCCCAGCACACAAATGCCAAAAATGGAACTTGGCAAGGACAGCTAGCTTGCAGGCCTCACGGCCAGGAAGCAGCCGTCCTTCCCTCCCTGCCCCTGAGCCCTGCTGTTTCCTCAGAGTGCCTTACAGAGTGATTTCCCTGCCTTACAGAGTGATTTCCTCTGGTCCTAGGGCAGCAGAGATGATATAAGCGGCTTCGTGGACCCAGGACTGGCCCTCCAAGATGCTCAGGTGATACTTGCCCTGGCCTTACCGCCTGAATTCTGAGCATCGCGTCACGATCCCCTTTGCCAAGGGAGCCTTCTTTAATACAGACCCCACTTTAAAGCCTCCACCTTGTGGTGACTAAGGAGGAAAGTGAGACTTCTGAGAAGCTCAAGGGGGGGGGGGGGATGGAGAAGCTAGGGAAGGAGCTAAGGCTCTCTTGGCAGAGCCAGCCACTCTGAGCCCAGAGCTCATTCATATGCAGCTCTCTGTGTATCTGTCTGTCGGTATAGTGCTTGTTACTCTGTGTTCCCAGAGCAATGGTGGAAGGAGCATTTCCTAATGTAGCTTCTGGCCCTAGACAAAAAGAGCCTTGAGTCAATGCTACTAGTGGGACAGGAGCTCAGGACAGTGAGCCGCCATACTGGGCTGAACAAGTGAATGCAGGCTGACTCGTAGCCCCAACTCTGTGGTTCTGGAGTTCTCTCTCACCTCCTCTGTCGCAATACTAGGATCTGTATGCAGCAGGCGAGAAGATCCAAGGGACTGATGAGATGAAATTCATCACCATCCTGTGCACACGCAGTGCCACTCACCTGATGAGAGGTACGGGCAGAGGGGGAAAGGCATGGGTACATGGCACCCTAGCCACATGGCCCCTCCTCCTTTGTGTGGAAGGACTGGTGTATAGTCTTGTGTCACTAAGACATGGGAAGAGAGCCATGGGGGAGGCAAAGATGGCCTGCATACATGTGGAGTATGTAATCTATATGTCCCTCGAGTGTTCCGTATATCTCCATATATGAGTGTTCTATGTATCTCCATAGTGTTCGAAGAATATGAAAAAATTGCCAACAAGAGCATTGAGGATAGCATCAAGAGTGAGACTCACGGTTCACTGGAGGAGGCCATGCTCACTGTGGGTAAGAAGGGGGATTGGCTTCTGGCACGTGAGCATCCACAGCCCAGGAAGGTGATAGCAAAGGACTGGATCTCTACCCAAAGGACACCTTCCTCACCCCCAATGCTCTCAACCTGTACCCTTTAGCCCAGGTCCCTATGACCACAGACAGCACTTAAGAGTCTCAGTGTGGCCTGCTAAGAATTATTCTTTATGCTTTCTATACAGTCCTCCATGTGGCATGAGTGTGTGTCTGTATGTAAGAGTATGTAAACATGGCTGTTACCACAATAACTCCAGGACCAGGGCCCAGTCCTATCCACATATACTACTTAGAGAGCATCCGGCTTGGGTTCCTATAGCCCTGCTCAAGGCCACCTTTCTGGGCCTAATCTAAGTACCAAGTCACTACCTTATTTGCTACTGAAGAAACGAGGGTGTGTGATCTGAGTCTCAACCGAGAGAAACATGGCAAACTTTGCCTGCAACAGAAAATGGAGGCAGCTTACCATAACTGTTCACAGCACATCCTGGGTCTAAAGCTGAAACCGTATGGGAAGATTCACAGTAGAGCAGAGACCTGTGACAAGCAGGACAACCTTCTACCATAATGGATCTGAGATAAGGACTCCCATGCTAGGCACTTCCCTCCATCCCAGGCTTACCCTGTGTGGAGGTCAGCAGCCAAGGTCTCCTCTCTCTATCCCTATGTCTTCAGTAGCTATTAACACCTGAGGTTTTCAGGCCAGCTCTGGTGACTGTGGTAAAGTTTATTCAGTTTATTCTATGTTGCAAGATCTAGACACACCTTCTGATGTCACCTAGAATTCTACCCATACACTCTAAGTACTGATGCCTCCCAAACAGCAAAGGTGTGCAGGACTACACTCTGTGGTGGGCAGTTCCTGTACATTTTTTTTAAGCCTTAGTCACTCCTAAAGTCACAGATGTGTCAGAAGGTTGAGTATCAAAGTCAAATAGAATCAAGGCAAAGTTTACACACATTCCTACCTCCCACACAACCCACACTCTCACGGCCTTGGAAAACACCATCTCCCAATAACAGATGCCACAGTCCATAAAATTACATCTATTGGAAAGAAAAAATTGAGGTCCATTCTCCAGGCCACAAGTCCTGGTGCCTTAGTCCTTAAAGCCAAGTCTCATTACACAAAAATTCAAAATGTGAGGTCCCCCCTCACAGGGAACTGAGACCTGTACCCACCATTCTGTGGCAACCCATGTGGAGCCATGTCATCAAATTCTTTATGAAAATGCTTCCTGAATGTGACAACTTAGAGATGGCCTCAAGAAGACCCAAGTGGGTGACTCCAGATGAGCCTCGCTGGTGCCCAGTGCTTTTCACGTCTCACCCTTTGGCCGGGCTGGGCTTTTGGAGATGTGCCCACTGCCCAAGGCTCTGCTCCTTGCCTCACCCTCTCTGCCTCACACAAGACCTTCTTTTTGAAGCTAGGTGGCACACAAAGGGACATGTCAACCTTTACGCAACACTAACCCTTAACACCTACAGGAACACATAAACAAGTACAAGTGTATGCAGCACTACCTCCTGCTGTTATTAATAGAATTTTCCTGTTTGCCAGTGAAATGCACTCGGAACCTCCACAGCTACTTTGCAGAGAGACTCCACTACGCTATGAAGGTAACTGTGCGGGCTGTGGCCTCTGTTCCAGTCAGCCCTACGTGATGCCAAATGCACAGCCAGGGTGCTCAGAGCCATTGCTGTCTGAACTCTGGGCTTCCTTTGCTCTAGTCTTTCATGCATCAGAAAGGTTTGCATTCTCAGAGGGCAAACTAGGCCTAGGGAAGGGAAGCCACATCTCCGGAAGGTACATTTGAGCAGATCATTGGCAGGGGTTCTTTGAAGGCCTCCTGAACCTTGACACCTCTGTGAGGTCCATCTCACAATTGCCATCTTAAGTGTGGTAAAACTAAGGCTTGTCCAAGGTCTCATGGCTGCTAATTGGTAGAGCCTTTGCATCCATTTTGAGCCCATCAGGTTATATTTTTCATTGCACTATACCTCCTCCTTGAGAACAAATTTGTTGTTGCAGGCCCTAGGCAGGCAGAACTGGAACCCCAAAACCCTTGACGTGGACAGACTCTTGAGACATTGCCACATCTGGCATGTCAGTTTTCTTACCCATGATCAGGTGCTAGCTTTGCAGTGTTTGTTGTTTACAAGGCTGCCCTGGCCACAGAAGTAGACACTCTGCTCTTTACAAGTAGAGTTGTTGGGAACTGGGACTAAACTGGAGGAGGGACATTTAAAGTAATTATAAGTGACTAATGTCAGGGCCCATCTTCTCTAGTACATGATGCTGGCACCACCTAAAGTGAGACTCATACCATCATCCCTGAGCCCTCTGGACGCATCGTCCTGTGAAGGAGAGAGTGTGCTATTTCCTTGGTCGTGAAGCTCCGCCTAACTCACTAGTTGGGTATGAGAGAGAGCCAGAAGGTCCTACTCTTGAAATGGCCAGCTGTGTAATGCTGACAGTGATGCTACTCAAAGAACTCTTCCTGGAACAGGGAGGGTCCTATGTCCAGAACCTGAGGCAGTATATCAAATGCATACAGCAATCAAGGCATTGGGCTTCTAATAAGAAAAGGTGCAGCCAGTGAGTGAGGAGATTGAGAAAGAGAGGCCCTGTGTGGTGGGCTGTAGATACAGTTCAGTGCCAGAGCACTCGCCTAGCATGCACAAGACCCTGGGTTCAATTCCTAGCATCACCAAGGAAAAGAATTTTGAAAAGCAAAAAACTGTCACCAAAGCTCTCCTCTTGGCATTTTCCCCACGGAAGCAGAGGCCATCCCTGCACTTCTAGCCCTTTATAAATTCCCCATGCAGGTCTGTCCTTCATTACAGAGGTAGAGAAGAAATGTGAGACATGATGGCTGATTGTCACTGTTTCATCCAGGGAGCAGGAACGCGTGATGGAACACTAATAAGGAACATCGTTTCAAGGAGTGAGATTGATTTAAACCTTATCAAGGGTCAGTTCCAGAAGATGTATGGCAAAACTCTCAGCAGCATGATCATGGTAAGACACAGGTTCCCCAGTTTACTGCCAACTTGGCATTTTCCCCTCGGAAGCAGAGGCCATCCCTGCACTTCTAGCCCTTTATAAATTCCCCATGCACAGACTTTCATGGGACATGGGGTGTTATGACTGATGTCACAGGTGACCATCCCTTCTTAGTGGGAATCTCATGCTTGTACTGGGTACCATGGGGCATGTGCAGGGACCAGGCAGGAGGGAAGTGTAACTAAGGGTGTAGCTGGGGAATATGTGGAAACTAAAGGAGCTCAGAGGGCTGCCCTTGTCCCAGAAAGTGGCTTTGCATTTGAGCTGTAGAATATACCAAAGCCTTACAAAAGGAACCATTTCTGAAAGGGTAATGGGAATAAGTAGTTTTGTAGAAATCGGGAATCCCTCTCAATCCAGATCTTAGGAGCCCTAGTAGAGAACTCTCAGGTCCAGTGATGACCCAGCTACATTCAAGTAAGTGAAAGTCCCAGGTGTTAAGTGTATATGGATGGTAACCCACTATGACTGAGACCAACAGCCTGTCTGGAAACTAATGCAAATTGAGACCCTAACAATCTCATTACCAGAAGTCAAATCATGGCAAGTCTTTCTTAGCTACTCAGTCAAGTGGCTACTTCTCCTACCAAGGAGGATTGTTGACTATATTTGAGAAGCAATTCATAGTTTACAACATAGCTGATCCTGTGCATTTGCTGGTTCAGATGATCTAGGACCAAAAACATTCAGGAAAAAAATGTGTCTGTATTGAACACATACATACTTTTTTCTTGTTATTGTTCCATGAACAATATGGTATGACTATTTACATAGTATTCCCATTGCATTTGATATTATAAATAATCTAGAAATTGTTTAAAGTATAGGGGGATGTGCATAATCTGTATCCAAGGCCAGTGGCATTCCCTATCAGGGACTTGTGCATATACACTTTGGTATCCATGGGGTCTTGGAACTATTATCCCTTTGATACTGAGGGACAACTGTATATTTTAAAAATACTGCTTTAAGAGCTTTCAGGCAGGATGGCATCAGGGAAGTGGGCAGTAAGACAGAAGAGTTGGAATTATTATTTGTTGTATTTTAGTCTTCACAGACAACTTGTGATGTGACAGGAGACTAAGCACAGGCCAGCTCATGCTGCTGCTAAGTCACCCACAAGGTGCACCTCATCACAAATAGCATTTTACAGATGAGAGAAAGGGTCATGATCCAGGCCTGCAGTACCCACGTTTCTCTGCCCCATGATCTATGTGACTCTAGGTTCCTTGCTTTCAGCCATGGCTCCCTAATGTGCACTAACAGGTATTGGATACATGTGAATCATGTTTTATAAGCGAATGGCTCTGTACCCCTGGGTCCTGGGAGATGCATTAGGAAGATCCCTGGGGCAGTTGACTGTATAAGGAAACTGCCCACAAGCATTTCCTTGTCTAAGAGGTTAGGAGTGGCCCTGTCTCTGTGATTCATTGCCCACAAGCACCCCCCCAACTTAGCTGGACAGGGAATTAAAAGGAGACTCAAAGGACTAGTCTGAAATAAGGAAGAAAGAAGGGTGGCATTTCATATAACTGTGGTATAGGAACCTTTGAAGGCACAGGCCCCACCCAAGGAGCACAACTCTTAGTCATGGTAACCGAAGACCAAGGACAATATCCCAAACACCTGCCTCTAACCCACATGTGCCTCCTTCCTGCAGGGTGACACCAGTGGTGACTACAAGAATGCCCTGCTGAACCTTGTGGGCGGTGACCCCTGAAGACATCAAAAGAACAAAGGCAAGAAGTGTGAGCCACAGGCCCTGCTGCTTCAACCCCAATCATGGCTGGGGTGGGATGGGGGAACACCTCACCCAGCCTTTAGTCTCTGTCTCCCAATTTCCAGTGCTTCCCACCCAATGCTTCTGACCCAAAAGGTGAGGCCAGCCTAGATTCATCTTTCCACCTCTCCCCCCTGAGTCATTTCTAGGTATTGCACAATGCCCACCCTAGCATTACCTCTGACCAAACAGAAACATCAGCATGAAGGAATCAGCAGGAACTTGTGGGCCATTCCTTCCTCCCACAAAAGCTCCTGGGCACAGGTTACACCAATGCCTTGCCTCTGATCCGTCTGCTCAACCAGGGTCTTTGGAGAAGGAGCCAACATGAATGGATTTCTAGCAGGTGTCTTAGCTGATAAGTTTCAGGAAGCCAGGAGGAGTATGTAAGAGTACTGCTATCTTAGAAAACACAGCATGGGAACTCAGAAAGAGCCATATCCCTGCCATTCAGGACGTCTGTAACTTTCATTTACCAGAAATTGTTAGGCTATAGGTGAACGAAAATTCTTACACCATCCTAATAACACTAATTAGACTATAAATCAGTCCTGACCCAAGTTCACTGTAGCCTGGGACACTCAGGCTTATCCAGGCATTGGCCAAATCAGCTATTCGCTCCCTCCATGGTGAAACTTGCAGAGTAGGAAGGCACCCAACCCTGAGCACGAATCCTGTCCTCTTCCTGTGACCTCCAAACCTGAAAAAGCTGGGAGAACTCTTGCTAATATTTGTTGGGCTTTCAGAATCATAAACATTTGTACTTTCAAAAAGTCTGTGGGTTTGTATGGGGTATGTGCCTGTGTGCTGGGGTGAAGGGTGTGTCTGCCAGGACAGAGGTCAATATCAAGTTGTCTTCTTCAATTTCTTCTCCACCTTAATTTTTTATTGTTGATTTGTTTCTTGAGATAGGGTTTCTCCATGTAGTCCTGGCTGGTCTGGAACTAGCTCTCCAGACCAGGCTGGCCTCTAACTCAGAGATTTGCCTGCTAGGATTAAAGATGTGGGCCACCCTATGTGGCTCTCCACCTCATTTTTTAAACAGAGTCTCTCTGTGAACTTAGAGCCCATTATGTCCACTAAGCTTATTGACTGGTGGGCTCCTGGGACCTGCCTGTTCCCATTCCCCAGTGATGAGGTTAGACACAGAACCCATGCCCAGCTTTTATGTGAGTGTTCGGGATCCCAACTCAAGTCTATGTACCTCCAACCCATTGTCCCAGTTTTATCTATGGACAGAGTGATCAGAGTGAGAAACAGAGCCTTATGGGGAGAACTTGTGGACATTTCCCTAAGGGAATGCTTGGAGTAACATGTGTCCAGTGTTGCTCTGGGGACAGAACTTGTAAATGATGATAGTTTGCATTCCCTTCCCAGTTTGTAGCCCAAATTCCAATCTCTCAGGGCTAGACAGAACATTAAAGTAAGCTGATCCCATTCCAACCTGAAGCTTTTCTGTGTTCTACAGCATTTGCACACCCAGGGTGATCCTTGCTGAACTTGATATGTATAGGTTAGACTTGGCAGCATCCAAAGATGAGAACTTACTGGTTTCTTGGATGGCCCTGTCTTTTTCCTGTTAGTATGTCTGTAGACCCCTTCCTACCTAAGCCTAAATCTGCCCCATCAGTCTGCCCCATCGTGCTCACTGCTCGCTGTGTTCCATCAAGATACAAAATGTTTGTTCTTTCCCAACAATGGTTTGTCAGAAGCAGGCTACATATTCTATTAAGGTGTATGTCCAAGCTAAGGTTCTGTAGTCCTTCCTATTGTCCCTCCTAGATACTGATTCTAGCCATGGTCTCTGGACATGTTCTAGTTTGCAAACTCCAAAGAGGCCCCAAGGGTAAAAACACTTCCTGAAATGAGAGGGCAGAATAGAAAAAGCATGGGCTCAGCATGGGGGAGATGGGTCTGGCTCTGCCATGCTGGCCCATGACTCTGACCTAGTCACTTTCTCTGCATGTGTTTATTTCCTTACCTGTCAATGCAGGTAGGATCCTGTATGCCAAACAACCCTGGACCAGAGGTGTAAACCATAATTTTCTAGTGCTCACAAATTGTATAGGTCAGGAACTCAACCATGGAACAGAGACAACAATGCCTTATCTCTATTCCTGAAACGTCTGGAGATGTCACAGAGAAAAGCTAAAGGCTGGGACAACAGCAGCAGAAGACTAGAAACTTCCACCCCTGGCCGGGTACCTGGAGAGTCATGGAAGACTGTGCCCTATAGCTCTTACATACAGCCTTGCTGGCATGGCAGCCTCAGGGTGGGAGAGTTCTTTGGTAGCTTAAATTACCATAATCACCTAGTGGGCAAGGAAGACACGGTATTGTCCTCTGTGAGTCATACGGTAGCACTTTCCTCAGGTCCCATTGATTAAAGACATCACATGGCAACCCATCTTCAAGGACATGGGACACAGACCTCATCTGTCAATGGGAAAATGGTCAGTTGAGTGGTTGTATTTTAATTCATCACTAGCAGGTCTCAAAATATGTCTGCTTGTCTAAAAGGTTGATGTCAGTAGGGCTGGAGTAAGCTCTAGAAGGCCTGCAGGGCCAGGCCTCAAACTGCACCATCAGGTTATAGGGTGGCTGAGAGTCCAGAGAAGGCTTCTGGGTTAAGAAGGATATAAGCTGTTTAGGGTTTACTAAGACAGCAAGTCTTATAAAGAAAACATTTAATTCAGGAGGCTCTCCTACAGTTCAGAGGTTCAGTCCACTGTGGAGGGGAGCATGGTGTTGTGCAGGAGGCTTGGAGCTGGAAAAATAGCTGAATGTCCTACACTTTGCAGGCAACAGGAAATTGATGACTGACTGTCACACTGAATGCACCTTGAGAAAGTGACTTCAAGGCTCACTCCCAAAGTGACACACTTCCAAGAGAAAGTGATGCCCAGATTGAAGGTGTGCCCTCCAGCCTCAAGGTCTGGATTAGAGGCGTGTGTCATCCAGCCTCCTCCAACAAGGCCACACTTCCTAATAGTGCCCCTTCCTATGAGTTCATGGGGGCCAAACACATTCAAACTACCACAGAAGCTACAGGCAATGTAGCCTAGTGCACAGGAGCCCCCACATCAGGTGTGTGCTCAACTGTGAGCACTATAAAGAACACACACCTTTTCCTCACTGCTCTGGGTGCTTGAAAACCCAAGGGCAAGGTGTGATCGCTTCAGTTCCCAGAGGGACTGTCTTCCCAGTTTGCAGATGGCTGGCTTCTCTATGTCCTAATATGGTTTGTCCTTTGTGCTCACCCATGGAGGAAAAGAATACCCTCTGTCTTTCTCTTCTCTTATGTCACCAATCCCACCAAGAGGAGCCACTCATCTGCAAAGGCCCCATCTCAAGTGCCATCACACTAGGAGGGTAGAGGACTTCAACTGCAAAGATTCAGTCTACGACCCTACATTGCTGAAGCATGGCCACTGTATTAACAGCTGCGGCAGAGTGTGTCACCTGGATTCTGTCCTGGGTGGTGACACTTTTTTCCTTTTTAAGAGGTAAAGTCCTACGTTCAACCTCCATTCAGTGCTGAGTCACTGTCTGCCCAAGTGGTTTAGGAAGAATTGGGATTTCCCAGCATTACAATCTTGTACCCACCAGCAGCTCACTGGGTGCACAATTTGCACAGATTTTGTGTGGAGATACCATGTCCAAGTTCATGCCTCACAGAGTAGTCTGTTTTAACATGATCACACACACACAAAAAAAAGGTCATGTTTCAGAGAAGAGGACAGGAGGGCAGTGCAGTGACAGGAGGTCTCTTTCTTCCCTCCATGCTCTCAGTACAAGACCTTTGGCAACATGGAGGGACTATATGCTATCACCACCAGGCGGTTGTATTGGGTATAATTTAGCACATGACCCTGATAGTGGCTAGAGATTGAATACACCAATAGCCTCCTTGGCCCTCCAGATCATTTCTGTTGGGATAACCTTTGGGCCATGTTGATCAATCTCATTCCAAAGACACGGTTGCAATCACTACGTGGGACTTTAAAAACACACCTGGTTTAAAGAAACATTAGGGTTTGCTTAGCACAATTTCAGCAAAGGAGGAAAATGGAATTATGACAAGGACTCTCTGTTTGGCCAAACTTTAGCCAGCCTCCTGTACCTTCTCTGAGGCCCATCCATGTGCTTTTCCAATTCCAGCTGAAGCAGCAACCCTCCATCTCTTCCAGTGTGACACTCTTCCCTGGTGACATCTGAACACTCTGGCCTATCTTTAGCAAGAGTCCTGTTTGGTGGCTTTTGTCAGAGTTCCCTTTACCCCTACTGTGTCCAGAGCTAAGAAGGATCTACGTGAGGTCTCTTTTCTCTTCATGAGAGCCCTGAATAGAATCTGTTTTTACAATCTGTTTTAGCCATTGCCCAGTTCGGGTTTCTCTATGACCATGGGTCCTCTCTGCTTGTGGCCTAGCCATGACTCTGTCTTGGTGCCCCTGCTTCTTGGCTCTCTCAGAGAGATAACATATCTTGGGGGGGGGGCGCTCCAGCCTGCAATCAAGGTGTGTGACTCCTTTAGAGCCTGATTCATTTTCCTCCATTGCAACATGAACTGACCAACAAGGGCTGAGCTGGTTACAGGAAACTGAACCTATGTCTGTTCTATGGCTGTGATTTGTAACATCCTTTTCTGTCTGAAAGATCTTCTAGTGGCTTCCCATAACCTTTCAGGAATTCCTTTCTGCTTAAGCAGTCCATAGAAGATAGCCCTGCTGGCAGCCCAATTACACAGTATTACTGTTATGATCCCATTTGTCTCAGAAAAACCGAGTGCTGGGAAGGTAAGAACTTTGGCCTGTTCTTTTTCAATATTCAGTGTCTGAATTAGTTTCTTTTCTATTTGCTATAACCAAATTTCTGAACAACTTAAGAAAGATGCGTTTGAGCCCATGGTCCAAAGGGTTTGGTCCATGGCTTCTCAGTCCATATTAACTTGAGCAGAGCATCATGGTAGTCGGAACAGATGTCAGAGAAGGCTCTAGCATTGTAGCAAGCAGAATGAGGGGGAAATGAGGCAAATATCAGCCAAGACCCCCTATGACCTATTTCTTCCAGCTAGGCCCCACCTGCTCAGCTTTCAAGAACCTCCCAAATGACACCACCAACTTAGGATCAGGCAATGAACACATGAGACTTTTGGGATAATTTAGATTCAAAACATCAACTATGTCTAACATACACCTGGCATTCAGTGAATGTTTTCGAATAAACAACAAATACGAGTATAGAGTTCGAGAACAAAACATCTCATGGGTGTTAAATGGGGTCAGTCCTTTATGATCTCCCATTCTGGGGGAATCTCTGTGGGTCTTCGGCCAGCCCAAGCAAACAATAGATCAGAGGCAGGTCTCAAGGAAATGGTGGCTGCTCTTGACTCTTTTGATCCCAGACTGTTTCTGAGCCTGCCACTGTTAGAACCCCTTGAGAAGGCTATGCCAGTTAACCAGTCAAGGGCCATGACCAGAGCCATCACTCAGCACTGGTATCATGCTGTGGAGGAGGCAAGAATGGAATGTTGGGCTTGGCCTACCTAGTGTTTATTCTTGAGCCACAGAAAGATTATCTTTCCTGAAAGCTGAATACTTGGGTAATATCAGGATCCTCTTGGCAAGAAATAAAAAGGGGGAATAAATTTGAGGTCGGCCATTCATTGTTACCAGAACTCTGCATTCTGTGTGGTGCCAGGTTGGGGCTAGGCCAGGTAAAATGTCAGGAAAAAACTTGCACAGCTAAAGACTGACTCAATACTTGTCAGGTG